ATTTTGTATATGAGAATATTCAAAATTGATTTAATTTTTAATTTAGGGCTTTCATGATTTTGATAAAATAGCATCTTAAATGTTATTTCTTATTTGTTGCGCATTTTGTATATGTATTATTTGTTTTAGGTATCTTCATAATTGTAATAATAGTTTTAAAATTAGCTCGTAATTTTTTAAGTTATAACCTAATGTTATTATTATTTGTCATATTAGTAATGGAGAAATATTATAAACGAAAATATACGAGTGTTGCCGATAAAAGAAATATCCAAAGAAAAAACCAAGAAAATCATGTTGATGTTGGCATGATGATCATTCCCGACTATCGCACAATTATAATGTAACGTTTGTTATTTTTTGGTTCTTCATTTTATGATTTGCATTGTGCCCCCTACTCTTAAATGTCTGCGTCCGCCCCTGGTCCACACCCACTGCTCGAAGACGGCAAAGATTCGATTGTTTTTTGGTATTACACATCTATTGATGAAAAATACACAACTAAATTTGAAATATGTCGTATGGAATTGTGGTTTGTGAATTATGGGATTTGTATTTGGAATTATGGGATGTGAACTCTTGGATAATGTATGTCTTAATAATAATTGATCTACAATTGAATTTTTCATGTTTTAAAAATATTATTTAAAATTTATAATACGATAAAATATTGATGAATGTGGAATTTTCTTAAGGCATATAAATAACTTAGGTAGTCATTAAAAAATAATAATAATAATTAGAAATCTCTGGAGATTCGACCGAATCGAAAAATAAAAATCTCCAAACCGAACAGTTCTTGAGATCGAATTTAGTAATCTCTGAATTTTGGTATGATTCTAGAGATTTGTGCATCTCCGAACCGTACCGACTCATGCTCACCCCTAATGACAACGTCCATTGGAGATATAAATGAAGACAATATCTCCAATAATGACATGACATCTACTTTTTTTTTACCTTTAACAGTATGCGGGCATGCTCTTATATGCAGGCCCGTCTTAAGGGGGGTGGCAGCTGGTGTGACGCCCAAGGGCCCATGAGGCTAGGGGGCCCATGAGTATACTGTATATACATGTATAGTAGATGTATTGGTCAATTCAAGTAATAATTAATTTAATCTCTAAGCCCAATAACATCAACAGAATCAAATTGATCTTGATGTTGTTCTTGAAGATTTTGCATCAAGAAATGCTCGAAGGCAAATTATTAAAAAGAACTGAAGCATAGCTTTATTTGAAGTATCCAAAATTTTACTATTGTTTTACCTTCTTAAATGTACTGCTTTTTTATTGACTAAATATACATGGTAAGTTATCTCTTATAAATAGTATTATATACTCCGATTGTTATATTCAATTTTTAATTAGATTGTCGGGCTTTTAGTGTCTTGCTTGCCCAAGGGCCCTCGAAATTGTTGAGATGGCCCTGCTTATATGCTTATCAATACGGTCATAAGCTAGCTTATATGCTACCAACCACATTCTTGAGTAGCTTTTCAAATAATGAAATATTTATTTCTTTTCACTTATCAACTAATTTTACCACACACTTTTGTCATAGAAGTTAATTTTTTAATCATAAGTCATAAGAGATAGCTATAAGATAAAATTTTATTTATCAGCTGATAGTTAGCTTATAAGCTTTCAGCTAGCTTAACGAGATTTTTTTTTTTTTTTTTTAAATGAGAATGAATTTTAACGTGATTGCAGCACCTGTTTAATTGAATATTGGTTAATATGCAGTCCATCCAAAAGTCAGGGGGAGGGGTAGTCATTAGCTTTTAACAAATTTCTGAATTCGTGGATCAAATGTAATTGAATTTGAAATAATAAGACTACAATTCATTAAATTGGAACTTCTAATAAAAAAATATCATATTTCAAATATTTCATGTATTGTTTGGTTGGAGAAAATGGGAGAGGAGAGGAGAGTTTTTTTTTTTTTTTTTCCTTGTTTGGTTGAGAAATTTGGATAGGAGGGGAGATAAATTTTTAACTTAAAATGTCCTTTTCTCACTATTTTTGTCCCCCTCAAAAAATGAGAGAGTTTGAAAGAGAGAGAAAATTTTAGTACATTCAATTACAGTTTTATCTTTATTATATGTAATATTTTAGTTTTTATTTTAGCATTATTAAAAATATATTTGTAATTCTAACATTATTTTTTCGTTCCTTTAATTTTTTTTACTAAAAAAACAAGATTTATCATTTTCTGTCAACTTTCCTCTAACAAAATCTTTCAAAATAAAGTAAATTATTTTACATCACCACTCCTTCCTTTCTCTCACCTCCCTTAAAATTTCTCCCCTCTTTTCATGTGTCGAACCAAACATACCGAAGAAATACCACAAAATTAGTTCCCAATTGCTCCAAACAATTGACCCAGATTTTAAAGTTTACTATTTGATGAAGTATTGATGGAGACGAGACCGCGATCGCCTTCTTGAATAAATACGACA